GAACGTGTGATAGCAAGACTCAAGACGCTTATCGGTTTTGGTTATCAGCAGGGACACCTGAACACGAAAAAGCATGGCACCCTGGCTTTTGAGTGGTCCAGGGATCCTCGGTGTTTTGAGGTTCACAGAGAGGCTCTGAGAAATTCGCGGACGGATCAGTGAAGCGGCATTTCGGAGGTTCCGAGTCTGAGTCCTCAATCGGTGGAGAACATTGAACCTGAGGCTCGTGCATGTTTGAAGACGCTGGTGGTGGTGCAGATCGCGGAGTGACAAGGGAAGGCGAGGTGACAGAGGTACTTCCATGAGGGCGTTTGACCCCACATGGTGAACGGCTCGTTTCTGTCTGTAAGAGGTTTTCCTGTAGTCGTTGGCGGTCGCTGTGTATTCAGACATTTTGCACCGCGGCATTTATCACATATAATTTGGAAAAGCTGATGTCGGATGTCAAGAGATTTTCGAAACACGTCAACGGATAAGCCAATGCACGAAAAATAGAACAAAACATCGCAGCCGAAGCACCGAAGTGCATGAACCTTATGTCCAACAACTTACGAACTCGAACCACAAATAGCTTGAGACGGCATCACAAGGCAGAGCAAATCCAAGATGGCGGACGGAGATGGCAGTTGGGCCAATAAATGAGATTTCCGGAATTAGCCAAACCGTGTCCCCCAAATTTGCACAGATTGAAAAATTCACCAAAAGAAGAATAATGGTGCACGATCCACACAGAAAAGCACTTATAACACAGTAATCCGTAGCAATAGTAGTATACAGCGCACGGTGATCCAAAAATTCGCGGAGTACGTGGGTACAGACAATCCCAATACTGCTCGTTGGTACCGCTAACTGCATGTGTAGCCTATACTCGAACTTTGTATTGCTTAGGAATGTTGTCATTGTGTCATACCTTGTTTTTACCAAATGTAGCCTAGCTATCCCTGCGACTTTTCGTTTCCGTGAAGGCAATACAAAGCAGCAGCCAAACTGGTGAAGCACGAAGACTAATCAAACTGGTATCACTTATCAGCTTATCGCTCCAACCTTCACGCGCTTCCCCATCACTTGTTCAATGCACACGAAAAAACCTAACACAATCGGCTATAGTCCTCTACTCTCACTTTGAGTGTGCAATCCATCCAAGGCCTATGTACACCCACTATCAACACAAAATCATAATACGGTCTAAACAAGAACATACTGCGATCTGCTATTGTATAGCAGTTTAGTGCTCTGTAGTTGGATTGCTGAAGTTCCCAAGGAAACAGACACGTTGGTCACGAGTGTTTTACCGAAACAAAACTTATGCATGATTCACATCATGATGTAACACTGGTCCGACTGGCCGCAACCAGTCAGAACCCCAACATGGACTCATGGTTAGTGTCTCTTGCTAACGCAGGGATGGGAGGTAAGCGCATTGATCGATATTAAGAGAATAGCTATTTCGCATTCATTCGTTGTGAACGAGCTTAGTAGTCATTCTTCATTCTTCTTATGTTCCCCTTCTTGACCGTTGTTTAAACGATCCACTCTGTGGTAGCCCGATTGGTACACACACGTCATTAGTAATGGACGCTCATCTCCGTGTCCTCTTCAGCAGTGCCATTTGCAAGAACACATTCCACTGGTTTTTATCCGCATCACTTTTCTCCTCGGTTATGTTAAAGGAATATCTACTTGTCACACAAGTATTGTACTAGTTTTTAATTGTCGGGTCTGCACTTCTTATTCTCCTTTGTTTCGTGACATTTGTTCAAACGCTGCATTTCGTGAGTTTGATTGGTCAGTGCCCGTCAATGTAAATGGATGTTCGCTTTACGCTTGGGGTCCCATGATGCTATTTTAAGGACATATGCGATTCGCTCTTGAGTACAAGATTGCTTATTCGCCGTTGCAATTGACGTTTTCCTTCTGTTGGTTGACTCAAGTGTAATTCAGTACATTCCCATCAATTTGCCTTCAAAACTATATAATCAAATGCGATTGCATGTATACAAGTTTTCTTCCGGATCGTCTTTGGACTTCACCTTGCAGTCGTGGGGTGAAGACGTCAGTGGGGACACAAAAATCGAGAGACTGTGCATGGTACGCGGTTTGTTGCTTTATCCACGAACGTTGAGGAAAACGAACTAATTATGAAGGGTTGTTTTAGTAATACTCAACCGTGTTTACTGGATAAAACTCCCGAGGATCCAGTTCAGCGATGTGCGATCGCGGCTCGGGAATGCGAGGCTGTTTACTCGAGTGACAATAGTGCACCTATGCTTTTCTGATCATTTGTTGGTAAAATTTGGAATTTTTGATGATGCCATTCTAGTCCATCCGCAGTTTATAATGTAAAGTGCTGGAAATATACCCATCTTTGTACACAAAGCTCCCCTTGAGTTGGCAACTACATATCAGACAGGTTGATGGTTAGAAGGCCAGACAAAGCCAGTGTTGCAGAATGCAAATTAAAGCAATGCTGTTGATGCGACACACATACCGCGAAACACCGCAAGGTTCCCGATCGCTTGTGGTAAGGACTTTAGAGCTAAGGAATTCAATCCAGGACATTGGTCATTGTCAGGTTAGGCGATAAAGAGTTCCTTGGAATAAATCCAAACAACATTAGTTCCGGTTGGCTGATCAGCCTATCCGCACACCTTGGCAACATAATTGTAGCGGTCGCCTCACCGATCAGCGTGCAGTATTCAGTGAAATGGTTGGTTTGGAGTAGAAAAAATCGGAGAAATAGTGAAAACTGCTTAATATCTGGAAGGCGTCCGACAGCGTAAATTGCTCGAACATCTTTTGCGGACACAAGTTTGTGTAGGTATGCTGAACAGGACAGTGAATGACAGATGAAAGAAACAGCTACAGCCGGAGTGCAATAGTTTCACACTGCCCTACGAACTACTGCACGGTAAACATTTGGTTTACGCTAGCCAGTCCGGGTAAAAATATGCTTGTTAGTGTCTCATTGTAAAACGCAAATCAGCAGCATAATCCCAAGCTTCGGTATAAACGCAGCCACTACCCCATTGTAAAATTGATACTATGAGCGACTCAACAAGTTGGCTGAAACATGCTCATTCAGGTTACACCTGTTAAGACAGATGAGTGGATTTTTGCGCGGGACCTCATCAGCGTTCCCGAAATGCGTAGACTGGGTAAATAGGAGTCAGTAGCATGCAAGTGACCGAAAAACCTGACGGTATCACAAGCCTCGAACCCAGATATGGTTTGTAAGCTGATTATCTATGGTTCGATTTGAGCTACCTGATTGTGAAACGGTTCAAAGGAAAAGGAGCCACAAAAATGCTCTTGAAAGTCGTCCATTTGACAAAAGCTAGACATTATTCTGTGTTATAGACGAAATAATACACCAGGATCATTTGCTGTTAATTCTATTAATTTCTCTTTGGCAACTAGTCCGTAGGGTGTAGTTGTAATCAAAAGTACGGTAAGTCGGGTCGAGTGATTCGTAAGTTAGTAAATCTGTGTTTCAATTATTTTCTGCCACATATCAATTTGGTGTAGCCACTTGCTTATCCATCAGGTTTCCAGATAACTCTGATTTCGGGCAGTGTACAAATCAACAAAGGTTCCAGCTGGGTCATCTATCATCAGTGAGGAGGGAAAGTCTTAGTTAATTAAAAACACTCATACACAACCTCTAGTCTACCGGGTTGGTAGCGACAGGCTGCACTAGGACCGCTGCCAGATTCCGACAGAAGAGCTAAATGAATGTCAGACTGGTTGATTGAGGCAGGAACTCAGATGACCGAGATAAAAAAGACGAAGGAGAGAACCGACAGTTTGTCTCAGATGGAAATCTGAACGGCAACCTCTAAAAAATGTGAAACCCGTGAGTATGCTTCCACTCTAGCTAAGATGAGGGAGGAATATGGGATGCTACTACATTCAACGACACTTGTCTGCCTACACACAGGTGAATGAAACCTCAGGGACCGGAGTAGAAGATACATTGCCCTTAAAAGTACCAAGATGGTGATTCATTTTCCTGCTCGATTAGCTTAACCCATTTCAACTTATCGACTATGATGTGTGCACGGATGCATGGCTGACCCAGACGTTTTCGTATATATAGCCAAGATGAATAGTCAGCATAATAAACAAGCTGGCTTTCTACGAGCCACCGTAAAACAAACAAAATATTGACGTCAATTTAAGAGGAATGAACAAGAATTAAGTCCACAATTAGAATAATGAGGGTTAGAAGTGTGGGAAGGGAAACATGGGTGTCACTGAGTTCATGACTTCCCCACATCCGATTGCCTGTGCAACTATTAATAGGAGTAATTCAAAGGAGTTTTCGGTGGGTTGCCTCAGGCTCTTTTCCATAGTATTGATTAGCGAATTTGTGACTTTGAACAACTACGCGCGGTCTCGTCACAGAAGCAACGGGTCTGCGGAGCACAAGACTGAGACTGCGCGCACGGTTTAAGCTGATATGGTCACTTTATTCTCAGGCGGGAATTTAACTCAGCCAACTGGGATACCGCTCAGAAAAACGGAATTATTTCCATTAATGTTATTATGGAGAAAAACGCTCGTACGATAGCTCTGCAGAATTTTGAAGACAGTTTAGCAACTGTTCAATATAGAAAGCTAGATTGCTAGAAGAGGGGAACTTATCCCTGGATCGAACGGAGATTCTAATACTGTGCCACATATCTTACTGTCAAACGTAATAAGACAAAATTCTTGCTGATCATTCAATGCTCCAGTGGATAATTAGTACGGAAGAGGTCACTAAATCAATACCATAGACACGTGGAAAAACCCGTTCGATAGGTAAAACAACGACACAGCAAAGCGCATCTCTCCAACAAAAAGAGTTCCAACCGGTCAGATATACAAAGAGATAGAGAAGAGGAACGTAGGATATGAGGGAACCATAAATTGAACAGGTGATAAGTGAGCAAATACACAAAGATGTATTAGAGGAAGAAGAATAACAAAGTGCAGCAGAGTAAAAGGTATGAACTTACAGTAGTGATTTCGGTTGTGCAATTGAGAAAAAAGAGCCTCTGTAGTACAGTAACGATTGGTTCGGAGCATAAACGACGGGAGTGCCTCCAGCCAGCTGGGGTTCTTTATCTGCGGGTGCACAAAGGGTGACATACAGTGTAGATGTATGCTAGGCAAAAACGTTTAAAGAGAAACTGAATTCATCAAAACCAGATGCCTTCAGGTGAAAAGTATGTGTCCGCAAATGCACCAGTCAGCCAAGTTTACTGTAAACGGCAAAATTACTGGACAAACTAAAGTTGGATATTGGAATATTGTTCTGAATTAGCATAACTGAAGTTGCATCATCTTTCAAACTTACACTTGCCGCTCGTTAGTCCAAGCCGCTTTGTTGTTCGATTCACCACCGACTGCGGTTTTATCTCATTCCTAACTTTCACACCTGCTAGGTTGCTGAAGTTTACTATGAAACCTGACCCATTCATCACATCTTCCTGGTGTCTGTTCGGTCCCACTTTCGCATACACCTGCATAATGACACATGGCCTACTCACTTGAAGTCACCGGTGAACTTAATGCATTATCACCACTTATGCGTTGTACAACGGCCACTTCATAGCATAAGGTTCTGGGGCCCAATAAAATGGCCCGTGTGATTTCGCTTGCGGGTTATGGTCATCGTGATCCGTCTGCACAACTGCAACTACGGTAACTTACACTCTCATTACGTACCTTGTTTCTGTGCTGGTCAGATATATGTAGGCTTTCTCCCCATTAAATTAAAATAGTCATTTGAATAGTGCCGCAGCTCAGTTACGCCCTCGTTTTGGGTTGACCTAGGAGCTCTACACAATGCTAAAAAGTCGCAAGAGAATTTATCTCTTACAGTTTCCGACTGCTGGGAACACTGAAAAGTCAGCACCTGGCACTAACACCAAAATGATCGAAGGCGTAAAACCTGTCGGCGAGTAGGGTGCTCTGGGCCAAAGTACAAAAAGCCTCTGCTTCCATCATGCTCTATGGGAAGCAATTCCAACCGCAGTTCACTACATCCCTTAGTGACAGTAGAGTTTGCCAGCCGGATTGACCGAATTATTTAGAGGGTTATCAATTCAGGTGACAAGTAAGTCATGATAGGGAAGCTAGGCGCTTTTCTGAGACAGCAGGAGCGAACATTAAGCAAGCCAGTGTAAAGAGTATTGTAAAAGTGCAGATACCTATCCTAAAGTGAAAGAACAAAGGGATGGACGCCAGACAAGATCGATAAACCGAAACACCGTCAAAGGAATGGCACCGTTAAGTGAAACTAGGCAAGTCAGATATGCCCGCACGGGACAACCGCAAGGCATCCAGCTATCATGGAAACGGATCCAGGAGATAGTTGTGGGAGTGAACAAAGTCTTGGAAACAGGGTGAACTGAGACATTATATCATTACGGGTTTGTTAAAGGTAAGAAACACCTATTGTGCCGCAATACAGAAAGAAATAAAAACAAGATAGTCAACATTACATAATACAAAATAAAAACAATAAAACAATAAAATACCATGCATCAAGTATAAGTAATGGACAATGATTTATAACGGGCGAAAAGCGAATGCTTGACCAGTCCCGTAGGATGACCGAAGTGAGGAGTGTAGAATAACGTTGGAAATGACGGGGAAAATGGGAAAATTCTGGTTTAAGGTGACTCACGGAGTTATTAACATAAACAAATTGCATCTATCCTGGATCTGAGTTACAATCACCTGGCAGTACTTAGTGTGTATGCATGATCAAACTTGTCAATAGGAAAGGAATCGATGCTTGCCGTTCGTCCTTTCCCGGAGCCAGCCAGCGGCTATTTGGTTTAACCACGAATGGACGGCACACACTCTAACACAACTCGCATGTAGCAGGCAAACACTCTCTTCATCTGTGAAAGCCTTCAAAATATCCTTCTTCATGCCACTGCTTCGTCATATGTATATTTACTGTGTTTTATACTATCATCCTGTCACCAGACTGCTTGACTGCAGTTTTCATACACCGACCTATATTCCATAAGTCTTGCTACATATTACCAGAATAAAGCTAATGCAAAAACTGTTTTCTGCCCCGTTCGCGTTATCTGTACCAGTTCATATGTCAATTTTGACCAACAATAAATTATCTGGTCCTCTTATGACTAGAAGATTGTTTACCTTTACACCCTCCATGCCAACAGAGGCGTGCCCAGCATAGACGAGAGAAAAAAAGCCCACATATTAATTCAAATATGCTAGTCCCCTCACCACTACGCAACGAAGACAGCTAATGAGCATAATGTTTGGTTTGCGTTACTACGAATTCTTATAGAAAAGCATGACGTCATGTAATGTAAACGGGACAAGTTGTAGTCCAGAGGCTCTTTAAAAAGCGAATGTGGGGATGAAAATGATTTGAGTTGGGACAGCGTTCTAAGTTCGAGATACGCGAAAACAATCAGATCGATATTAGTACGCGGTCAGTTTTAGGCAGCCGCATTCCAGGTTAGTATTGTGGCTGGGTTGCGATAGACCTAGTTGAGGTTAGTCAATATTTGGTACACCATTATAAGGTCTCCTCACAGGAGTCGGTATCCGCCACCGTACAAGCCTAGGGTTTTCAGTCTGTGTTGATAGGGGACGTGAAACAGTCCTCTAATGATTTTTGTTGACTTACATTGTAGAGGTTCGAGCGCAGCAGCACTATGTTTGCACCAAGGTCGCCAAGTCTGGATCGTGTATTGTACGTGTGGTCTCACGTAGGTACACAGCATTGGTGGAAAGATTGATGGCTAAACTTTTCGAACGCCCTTCGTAGGAGGTTAAAATGTGGACTGACGGTTTTCCATGTCTACTAGACCTTTTTCGAGCAGCCAAGGTCGTCCTGCACGATTATCTCGTGGTCACTTTCCTGCGTAGGATGTTGTAGCAGCTTCTTTCCCAGTCGATATTCGTGAGTACACTGATGGCGTATGCTCAAAACTTTGCATTTCGCCAGGTTAATCTGGACCCCGTTTTCGGAAGACTAGGTGTAGGCCCTGTCGAGATCTTTTTGTAGTGCCGCGTGGTCGCCCACTGTCTTGATCATATGCCACATATTGACGTCGTCTGCAAATAGTAAGAAGTCCGACTGGAACATCCTAGCGATAGATTTAATGAATACTGGGAACAGACGTGGTCCCAGTACCGATGCTTGGGGCATACCACACTAGACTCCAATTTGGTCGTAGATAGATGGACTCTCACATGTAGCTGAGGTTGAATGAGGAAGTTTCGTATCCAACCCATAATCGATTTTGTGATAACACCTACCACAAGTTTGGATAACACTGGGCAGTTCCAGGACTCCGTGCGATTGCGACGTATAAATAGGGGGTAAATACTCCATGATTCCACATTGTTGGAACCTGCATTTCATCAAGGCATCGTTGAAAGAACCGAGCTAACGGCTAGAGCGGTTGTCATTAATGCCTTCAGCTTTATGTCTCCAATGTTAGCAGACCTGCGCGTGCCTACGGACAATAATCTTTTCATCCCATTTGCAGTAGTGAAGCATAAGTGGCTTACTCATGGGGGCGGCGTGAGATGTGTCAAAAACGGGTGAGGTGACAAATCGCTTTGGAAAGTGCGGGCTAACCGTTGTCGAGGCGCGCTGGTTGTTTTATGTGTAGTTAGAGTCACACTATCTATTGCTCACGCTGCACTCTGCGGAGCTTGTTTATGTACCTGTAGGATTAGAAATCAATTTCATCGCTAAGTCCTGTTCATGTCAGAGTTTCTCTTCGCGGAACAATTGAACATGATTCCGCTGAGTTACGCAGGCATCAAAGGTCTACACATTTGGACAGGCTTTATAAGCACGCCAACCTGATTCCATTCAAGCCAAATATTTTCGGGCCTGGATTCTCATGAAGGGATTCACCTGCTACCGGCGAAAGGCTTTAATTTCCGACGTATTCTCTATGAGCCCAGTTAAATAGGTGATAAATTCCTCCCAGACGACATTTGGAGGTTGCTCGGCAAGGAAGGACCAGCTGGTGGCTTGAAAGAGGAGAGATAGTATGCCGTAATGGGTGAACACATAGATTTTCTCTTTGTTTTCACGGGTACATGTATACTCCGCGTAGCATATGTAAAGGAGGAGCAGTATCACATGATCGCTACGACCAATTGTTGCCTCTATCGTTACGGTATGGACCATTAGTTCCTCGTTCATTCGCACGAGGTCTAAAGTAATTAGTTCGCCACTTACTTATTCAACATTACCATTTTACACGCTAGCTTCAGGTGAAAAACACCTCAGCTATTGTGCCGCAATACAAAAGACAATAAAACGAAAACAAACAGTGGCACGCCCGCTGAGTCCCCAGTAACGGATGGACATCGTTCCGGAGAGCTAACAGCTGGCTGCCGTAAAAATAAGTCATATTATGCCTAACGAGTGAGATCGTGATTGGAGGGGGATACTAAGCAGGAGGGGGATGGACAAAGGAACTCACAACACAAACGCCATTGGGACCGGCTCCAAGCCATATCAGCAAGTGTGTCCAACCAAACGTGTTCACGGTCCTTAGGACCCAAGCCAGGCAGTCGGGATGCACCAACCGACGCCAACTTCGAAGTGAGGGTTTTCATCTCTCTCGACCAAGTCATCGCCTGGCCTCCCCTCCTCCTCTTCCAACCGCACCAAAAACGCGCAAACAATGCATGTCGCGGAAGTCAGTGTGCTGGCATGCGCAACACGTGGCCTAACCATCGGAGCCTGGTGCGTGATATAATAGTACTGAGCAGTTCACTCGCTCTTCCTGCACCAAATACGCGACGCTGAACACCCTCATTGCTCACGCGGTGCTCCCAAAAGACATGAGCTAAGCTGCGAAGGCAGCGATGATCGAATATGACGACCCATTTTATGTCTAACGACCTGAAGGGCCAGGTTTCACAACCATACAGGAGAGTTAAACAGGCGGCTGCGTTATAAACTCTGCCCTTCAGGGCGAGAGTAATGTCGCGTCTGCACCACAGGTGGCGGAGCTTGACAAAAGCCCCTCGAGATTTTGCTATACGGTTCGTAACCTCATATTCAATCGCACGGGTGCTAATATAGCCGCCTAGGTACTTGA